TGGCTGATGTATGCTCAGCTCAGTGGGACGGCCCGACCAGGGTGCCCTTCCTAAGGCGGGTGCAGAATGACACCTCTCCTGCAGGTATCTCTTTGATGGGGATGGACACCTCCAGCTCTCACTGGCCACCTCTTAAGACATGGAGGACTGGCTGGGCATGGGCACAGAGGGTGTGGGCTCTGGCCTGAAGGCAGCTGTCAGCCTGACCATGAGGTTTCCACCCTGCTCAAACAGGAGGAGAAGAAGGAAGGTCCCAGGGTGGCGAGGAGCAGAGAGAACCCAACCCAGTGGGTCCTCAAGGAGTTCACTGTATGCTTGAGGAGTGCCCAACCCTGGAACTCAGCACAGCCCACCCTGGGGCAAATAGGATGGCCGCGCGCCAGGGGACTTGGAGTGGGGTCTGAGAGGATGGATGGCATTTGGCTGAGCAGGGAGAGTGGGACAAGATGTCTGAGGGTCCCTCTTGACTTCACATGTGACTGCTTCCTCCTCCTAGCCAAGTCATACCAATGATCAGATGGCAGCATTTATGGAAGTTGGGTCTGTACCAAGAACTTGACATCCATTCACTCATTCATTCAACAAATACTCATTGAGGTCTACAATTGCCAAACACTCTCCTGGGCACTAAGAATAGGTCAGTGAACAAAACAACAAAAATCCTTGCCCTCATAGGACTTACTATCTTCTGAGGGACTAGATACAGAATAACAGGATATAAATAGATAGGTGGCCGGGCATGGTGGCTCATGCTTATAATCCCAGCACTTTGGAAGTTGGAGGTGAGAGGATTGCCTGAGCCCAAGGGTTCGAGACCAGCCTGGGCAACTTGGCGAAACCTTGTCTTCACAATAAATCAAAAAATTAAAGCCAGGCATGGTGGCATGCATCTATAGTTCCAGCTACTTGGAAGGCTGAAGCGGAAGGATTGTCTGAGCTCAGCAGGTCGAGGCTGCGGTGGCCATGAGCCTGCTACTGCACTGCATCCTGGGCGACAGAGTGAGACTCCAAGGTCCATCAACTCAGTAGCAGTGTCTAAGGCCAGGCACGGTGGCTCAAGCCTGTAATCCCAGCACTTTGGAAGGCCAAGGTGAGAGGGTTGCCTGAGCCCAGGGGTTCGAGACCAGCCTGGGAAACTTGGGGAGACCTTGTCTCTACAATAAATCAAGAAAAATTAGCCTGGCTTGGTAGTGCACACCTATGTTTCCAGCTACTTGGAAGGCTGAAGCGGAAGGACTGTCTGAGCACAGCAGGTTGAGACTACGGTGGCCATGAGCATGCCACTGCATTCTAGCCTGGGCAACAGAGTGAGATTCTGATTAAAAAAAAAAAAAAAAATTAGCCAGATGTGGTGGCGCTTGCCTGTAGTTCCAGCTACTTGGAAGACTGAGGCAGAAGGATTACCTGAGCCCAGCAGTTTGGGGTTGCGATGGCCGTGAGCCTGCCACTGCACTCCAGCCTGGGCAACAGAGTGAGATTTCGACCAAAAAAAAACCCCCAAAAAACCCATCAACTCAGTAGCAATGTTTAAGGCCAGGTGCGGTGGCTCAAGCCTATAATCTGAATACTTTGGGAGGCTGAGGTGAGAGGATTACCTGAGCCCAGGGGTTCGAGACCAGCCTGGGCAACTTGGTGAGACCTCGTCTCTACATGAATCCAAAAATAAGCTAGGTGTGGCAGCACGCGCCTGTAGATCCAGCTACTCGGAAGACTGAGGCAGAAGGATTACCTGAGCCCAGCAAGTCGATGCTGGGCTGGCTGGCCGTGAGCGTGCCACTCCACTTCAGCCTGGGCAACAGAGTGAGACTCCAACTCAAAAAATAAAATAAAATAAGCAACAGGATGACAGAAAGAACAGAATGCTGTGGGACAGACAGAGCAGAGGAGGAGGGAGGACTGGACCTTTAGATCCAGTGGTCAGGGTGGGCCCTGCTGAGAAGACGTCCTTGAATGAAGACTCGAGGGAGGTAAGGAGCGACTGTGGAATACCACAGAGAATTCGTGGGAGATGAGACCAGAGAGGGCCGGGGTGGCAGGAGGGAACAGCCAAGCAGCTTACGTAGCCTTTGTAGGCTCCAGTCAGGGCTTTTTTGGTTTCTGGCCTAAGAGGGGAAGGCACTGCCAGTTTGGAGCAAAGGCGTGTGAAACAGGACTTAGGTTTTACCAAGAACACTGGCTGCTGTGGTGAGAACACTAGGGGAGGAGGAGGAGGATCCGGGAGACCAGGGAATCCAGGAGGGGTGGAGATGTGGGTAGTGGGAAGGGTGCGTGTTGAGGGTCACCCCAGCAGGATTTGCCCATGGAGTGAATGTGGGGTGTGAGGGGGAAAGAGAAGCGGCAAGGATGCTCCCAGAGGCTTCTGGCCCGAGCAGCCTGAGGGATGGAGCTGCCGGGGACTGGGATAGGGAAGATGAGCTGGAGCAGGCGGGGAGGGAGAACAGGAGTTCACTTTTGGACTTGGGGGTCTGCGGGGTCAAGGAGGCTGGGGGAGCAGTCCAGGCCAGAGCTGAAGGAGCTGACCTAGCAGCAAAGGAGCGAGGCTGAGGAAAGGCCCCAGGAATGCCTCGGGAGATGAGGAGGTACCCAGAAGACCGATGAGGAGTGGCAGAGGAGGCGGGGGAAAAGCCAGGCGGGCATCCCGGAAACCAGGTGAGGAGGGTACTTCAAGGGAGAATGTGGCCCACCAAGTCATGCCACTGAAAGACCAAGAAAGAAGAGGATGTGGCGGCCCATGGGAGAGGGCTTACGGCGGATGGTGAGAGAACGGGACAGCTGTGGAGAGGGCGCTCTAGCTACCGTGTCTCGTGCTTTATCTCATTAGATACTCATCCTCATAGCTGAGGAAATACACTCATAAAGAAGTTAGGTAACTGCCAGAGAGTCAGCAGAGCTGGATCAGAGCCCAGTGTTGACACGGTGGCTCTTGCCCCTCCGTCCCTTCCACATCTCATCCACCAGCCAGCGTCCCCAGTGCTCCTCCAGGCCCTGGGGAGATGGAACTGACACACCTCTCCTCAAGTTCACTGTCTGCCAGAGGAACACCCAGGGCCTCATGGCTCAGCACATCCCACCCTGGGGGGCAAATGGATGACTGTACGCCACAAGACTTGGAGCAGGGTCTAAAAGGATGGAAGGGATTTGGTTGGGCAGGACAGAGAGGGCGGGGAAGGAAGTGGATGTGTGTGCCGTTCGGGCATGACCAGGCCATCCAGGGAGGTGCCTGGGTTTGAGGAGAGGCAGCAGTTGCTGGAGCACCTGGAATCAGGAAGCAGGGGTGCGGTGGCCAGAGGGCCCTTCAAGGGAGGACCTGCCACTCGTGTGGGGAGGTGCCAGCCTCCTGCTGCGGGTGCCTTCAGGCCCCGCCTTAGCTCTCCAACCAGGGACTGTGTGTGGCGGTGGCCCAAGGGCTGGTCCACTACAGGCAGGCCTGTGCTGGAGGTGCCCTGAGCTGACTGGGACTTCTCAGCTGCTTTAGAGGCTGAATTTCTTCCTGTCCTTCCCGCAACTGTCTCCTCTGTGCTCTGAGGCCTTTCCCTGCCAGCCCCTGTCCTGCTCCCCATTGCCCACAGGGACACCTCAGGGAATCTCACCCTCTGTCTTGATCTCTGCTTCACAGAAGACCCAACCAGTATTGGGATCTCAGTCCCTGGCATTCCTCCTCTGTTGTGTTGTGGCCTCAGCATGCCCACATGAAAATGCTGTAGCCATAGGGTACTTTGGATTCATCTGGAAATTAGAGTCTTCTGAAGAGCTGTCTCTTCCCAGCTCCTGGTGGGAACATTGGGTCTTAGGTGAAAACTCTTGTGTCCTCTGCAGGGTCTCCCCACCCTTCCCTTGGGACATGTGTGGACATTCATTTAACATGCTGAAAAAGAAAGTGGTTTCTGGTCCAGAACAACAACAAAAAAATCACAGTGCCGCCGGGTACACTGGCTCATGCCTGTAATCCCAGCACTTTGGGAGTTCGAGGCAGGAGGTTTGCTTGAGCCCAGGAGTTCAAGACCAGCATAGGCAATATACTGAGACCTTGTCTCTACAAAAAAAATTAGGCTGGGCGCAGTGGCTCACTCCTGTAATCCCAGCCCTTGGGAAGCTGAAGCGAGAGGATTGCCTGAGCCCAGGGGTTCGAGACCAGCCTGGGCAACTTGGTGAGACTTCATCTCTACTATAAATCAAGAAAAATCAGTGGGACATGGTGGCGTGTGCCTGTATTTCTAGCTACTTGGAAGTCTGAGGTAGAAGGATCACCTGAGCCCAGCAGGTTGAGGCTGTGATGACTGTGAGTGTGCCACTGTACTCCAGCCTGAACAGCAGAGTGAGACTGATTAAAAAATAAAAATTAGCAGGGCTTGGTGGCATGTACCTGTAGTCTCAGCTACTCAGGAGGCTGAGGTGGGAGGATTGCTTGAACTCAGGAGGTCGAAGCTGTGGTGGGCTGTGATCTGATTGTGCCACTGCACTTCAGCCTGGGAGACAGAGTGAGACCTTGACTCAAAAAAAAAAAAAAAAAAAAAAAAAAAAA